CATGAGCTATCTTCAGGAAGGTCCCTCCTGCCCTCCATGAGCTATCTTCAGGAAGGTCCCCTCCTGTCCAACATGAGCTATCTTCAGGAAGGTCCCTCCTGTCCTCCATGAGCTATCTTCTGGAAGGTCCCCTCCTGTCCTCCATGAGCTATCTTCAGGAAGGTCCCTTCCTGCCCTCCATGAGCTATCTTCAGGAAGGTCCCCTCCTGTCCAACATGAGCTATCTTCCGGAAGGTCCCTCCTGTCCTCCATGAGCTATCTTCAGGAAGTTCCCCTCCTGTACTCCATGAGCTATCTTCAGGAAGGTCCCCCCTGTGCTCCATGAGCTATCTTCAGGAAGGTCCCCTTTTGCCCTCCATGAGCTATCTTCAGGAAGGTCCCCTGCTGTCTTCCATGAGCTATCTTCAGCAAGGCCCCTCCTGCCCGCCATGAGCTATTTTCAGGAAGGTCCCTCCTGTCCTCCATGAGCTATCTTCAGGAAGGTCCCTCCTGTCCTCCATGAGCTATCTTCAGGAGGGCTCCACCTGCCCTCCATTAGCTGTCTTTCTGTTGCTCAGCATGGTGCTAGTCTGTCAGACAGTCCCTGGTTCCTGACTCAGCACTTGCTTTCTTTGGGTAGCCTGCCTTTGAGTAGCCTGGGGAGGGGCCTCCACCCTCCTGCAAGCTCTTTGTGTCTCTGGGAGCTAAGGAAGGAACCTGGTCTTTGCTGCTGTCTTAACTGGCTGGGTGCTGTGCTTGCAGTCTAGTCTCCTCTGCTTGTCCTCTAGCTCAGTGTTCACCTCTCCTGGTGCCTTGAGCCCCAACAGCAAAGGAAAGAGGCAGCTGTACTCACACCACGAGGAGCAAGGGGTAGTGGGCCGTGTCCGTGAAGGTCGCCGGCTTTAGGATCTGCATGGGCAAGTCTGTGGAGAAATGGAATACAGAGGTGGTCAGGGCGGGGCCAGCAGGGTGGATGCGGGGCACCCCTTGAATCTTTGTCTGCAGGGTTGTGGTGGCCTGTGGGCTCTCTGGGGAGGTGTGGCTGGAAATCTAGAGAGCAGCCCAGGCTTCCTTTCAGTGGCCCTGGCTTGCTGTGTGCCTGCAGGCTCCGTTTCTGGCTGGAGCTTAAGGTCCACCTCCCAGAAGTGTACATTGAAACCAGGAAGGACAGGTCCCTGCGGCACCTGCCAGCAGAGAAGCCCCACGGGAGTGAGGGGCCTAGCCAGGGCAGCCATTGCCACTCTGCCACATTTTGGGGATGGGTGTTTGGGGACAGGAAGACTGAGGGATGGGGCTGAGATGGGGGAGAGGGACACAGTCCTTGGGGGCTGTTCCAGTCCCTGTCTTCAGGTTCATGCTGGGCAGGTCTGAGTGTCTGCTGGAGCCACAGGAAGAGGACCCTGGGAAAAGAGCTGGTCCTGCAGCCATTGTGGTCATTGGGTTTGGTCCTTGGCAGTGTGTGTGGGGTGAGAACAGAGCCTCAGGCAAACTGGCCCACTGGTTTCCTCTGTCCACCTCTCCCCAGCGAGCCTCCTGGCCCAAGTTAGAATTTGTTTGTTGACATTAACTACAACCCAGATTACCAAAGGCACAGCAATTAAGTTGGAATTAGTGGCTTTTCAACACAATTACTAACCAGACACACCCGGGGCCGGGCAGCCTGGCTCTGACACAGCTTCTCATTATGGATCCCAGCTGAATGTTAATGGCTTGCAAATTGGATCAGTGATCCAGGGACCGGCAGAGAGGCAGGCACTGACTTTGTCATTCACCTGTCCCTAGAATGTGGTGCGGGCTGCTGTTGCCACCCAGCACCTGCGGGCACACCTGGGGAAGGAGTTAGCTGGGCTCCTTCAGGGGGGTCCTTCCTGCAGCCTGCCTGGCTTCCCACGGCCCCCAAAACAGAGGCCAGGAGGGACAGCACCGAGGACGTGCTTGCTCCTAAGGGGCGGCGTCAGTCCCCAAACACCCAGCAGTGCCCCCTCCCTGCACGGGTGCCCACTTTCAAGCAAAGCTGTGCCGGGGCGCTGGCAGCAGGCGGGAGCTGGCATGGGCTCCTCAAGGCCGGCTCTGCACTTCCTGAGAGGAGGGTGACGCTGGTGCCCCAGGCATCAGGACTGGAAGCGTGGGGACAGCAGTGGAGGGGAGAGAGCTGGGCTGCGAGGCAGGGACACTGGGGCCGGGAGCCCACACGATACCCCACAGCGCAGACACACTTCTTGGCCAAAGCTGGTGGTCCCAGCCTCTGCGCACGGTGTTCCTGTGTTCAATTCTCTGTCCTGAGGGCCCCCCTCTCGGGTCCTTCCTCAGAGCAGTCACAGAGGGGCATTTCGAGGGGTAACTCTGGATTCTGCAGTGGCGGGGGACTTGCAGCACATCACACTTACAGACTCGTTGGACTTTGGAAGGTGGGCGTAGCTTCCTGCAGGACAGTGGCCCACGTGCCTTCCGGCCACGTTTAGGTGGTCTCAACAGACCTTGCACACACTGTGAGCTGTGACTGGGACAGAGGCCACGGGTGCTTGGCTGAGTGAGCTGGGGATGCACCGTGGGGTGGCTTGGCCAGGCAGGCCCCACCCTGCAGCACCCCCACCCTGCACTCCTTCCCACTGAAGTGGCACTCCAACTTCTTACACAACTGAACACCCCCTGCAGGGGCCAGTCTGATGTCCCAGAGTCGTCCCATGACCATCGGGGTCCCTTCTCACACCTCCTCTGAACAGGCATGGCCTCTGCTTCCTGCTCCCCACGGTGAGCTGTGGCGGGCAGCGTGGTCCATGTGATTGCTTCCCTGGGTGGGCCTTGGTCCCTGCCCTGGGTCTTCTCTAGGTCATGGAGCACAAGGAATCTGCTCGCACTTCAGGGCCCCCCCCGAGCCAGGCCACAAGCTGCTGTCCTATCTTCTGAGTGGGACAGGGTGGACCCAGAGCACCTGCTACGAGGCCAGGTGCCTGCGGCTTCTCCCTGCCCCTCAGCACAGCTGACTCCCTCTGAGGAGCTCGTCACCTGCTCTTCCTCTCCAGGCTTTGCTCTGACAGTGGCTGTCCGTCACCGTTCCCCCAAAGGGGAGGACAACTCAGAGACGCTGGGAGAGTGGGAGCTGAGGGAAGGACTTGAAGGCCACCTGCAGGCTTGAGGTCTAAGTTGTGGAGCACAGTCCACAAGCCACAGGGTGCTGGGAGGGAAGAGTCGGGGGAGGCAGGGAGGCTTGGGTTGGGCAGCTTACACTGGGTTCTTCAAGGCTGGTGGGTGGATCTGGGAGCCAGCTGCGTGCAGGTGAGAGGACTCTATGAGAACTTTGCCTCCCCTTGGGCTGCAGGCTCATCCAGCCTCCGCTGGGGTCCCTGTGCCTCGTGCAGAGGAGTGCTCCTGATAATGTCCTCAATGGGCAGGCGACAGGGGCTCCTCAGGCAGTACCCCCCTCCCACACCTGTCATCTGTATTCCTCCAGAGGCAGGGAAGCCCCTTGTCAACTCACTGTTGACCCCAGAGGCAAGAGGCCAAAGTCACAAAGACCTCAGACAGCTGGAGGCGGGACTTCCAGAGAGGCTGTCTCCCGGGAGGCCTGCCAAGGCAGCATTTCACTTGAGTTTTCACCTTAATTGCTGGCTCCCGAGGAGAGGAGTCGTGTGCTCTGCCTGGCTTTGGGCTGGTCACCACCGTGAGCACCTTGGTGTGGACACGGTGAGCTGAGGGTGGGGTGGGTGGCGAGGCCTGTAGCCTCTGCACGGCTCCCGGGCTCCTGCGCTCAGCAGCAACTGCTACGGTGGGTGGTTCTACAGCAGCCCCCAGCTCTCCTTTTTAGAGGGGGGAAAGAGGAGCACTTACTATAATCATCAATCTCGATCTTCCTGTATTCGATCTTGGGCATCTGCCGGTCACTGATGGCCTTCTGGACATGCTCATTCGTCTCCAGGTCAAAAAGTTCTGCAAGAGAGAAGGCAACCATGCCATGGGACAGGTGACCTCCACCGCACACCTGCACACCTGGGTGCACGTGGGCCCTCTCCTCGTCCTCCTGCTCCCCAGCCAGGGCTGGAGTGACAGTTATCATTTCTATGGGATGGACCAAGAAAGAGAGACATTAAATAGCTTGCTCAAGAGCCATGGCTGGAAGTTCGGTCTGAAGTCAGGAGCTTAGGCAGATGCCAGGTCCCTCCACTGTGCAGGCTGCCTCCACCCCTGGAATTCTGTGCTCAGAGCATTTGTTACTCATGCAGAGTTGGTCTGACTCATCTCAGGACTGTTAGCTTTTGGAAAACGGGCATTATGTATCTGTTAGGACAGATGGTTGAAACCCAGTAGCCCAAGTAGCCAGGGAAAGAAAGACAGTGGACACTGAAATGTGGTCTTCATTAAATTTTCTCCCTGCAAAATCACTTCAGATTTCTTAAGTACACAGCTATCTGGGGGCTGGGGTTGTGGCTCAAGTGGTGGTGCACTCGCCTGGCAGGCGTGAGGCACTCGATTCTCGCACCACTTAAAAATAAAGACTAAAAAAAGCTATCTGGACTTTGAGACCCTAGAGTGGATGACTGTACACATGGACAGTAACGCTCCATGGGCAATGCTTTGCCACGGGACACCAGACACTGAGAGGTCCTCCTGGTGTCCAGAAAGCCCAAGGTCCTCAGGGGCGCCTGGTGTTCAGACGTCGAGTGGCAAGAGTCACGGAAGCTGAGGCCGGATGGTCGACCCCTGCTCCACGCCTAACTCCAACAACACTAAGCAAAGCAAATGTTCACTGGGCTCACAGACGGCTTCCTGTGCTTGAGACACTAACTACCCAATCAGTGCTGTGGCTCTCTGATGTGACCAGATCCAGGCAATTTGCAGACCAGTGCTTGGATCTTACCAGCTCATCTCAAAGGTCCAGGTCACTGGAGGTCCACTAGGACCTGGGGAGAACCTTTACCTCTTTACCACGCTGCCTGCCTACAGGAGTGGCTCAGACGGGCAGCAGGTGAGGGACATGGGGTGTACAAATGTGGAGCCCACAGAAAAATGTGAGCTCATGAAGATTAGTGCAATTAGCAAATTAGAAGGTGAGTCAGTTGCTTTCAGCCAGTTTTTGCAGCTGGGCACCTGCAGGGCCTGGGCTGGAGAGGTGTCCTGGTGGCCAGGCCTGCTCTGGGTCACTACATTGCAAAACGAGCAAGGCCAGAACCCTCTCCCCGTTCATGGAAGTACACTCTTCTTCCTTACTGGTGCCTTTGGGCGAATGTTCCTGGCATCACTCTGCGACCTCCCAGGCCGGTCAGAAGCAGAAGTTTCCTACTCAGTGTGTAATGTTTGCGGCCTCAGTGAGGCCTGCCCAGGGCTACTGGGGACCTGCCAAGTGCCCGTCACTGGCCTCTGGGCCTGGGAGTTCTGGCTTCACGTGGGGCGCTCGGTGCTCTCCCGGCTCACTGACAGCACAGCTGCATGTGAATAGCTCGCTCCTCTCTATTAAATCCCACCCTTCACAGAAGAGCACCAAAGCCACAGACTATTAAATTTAGTTAAATATTAGATTTCTCATTTAATGATTGCCCACACAACTGGTTTTATCAGCAGAGAGCTGACTGTGTCACGGGGGAGTTGAGTTAAGCCATTTTATTTGTTCCCATAATTGCATTCAAAGAGGGCAGGAGCCCTGCAGAGAAATGAGGAAAGATTGGCATATTCCCTGAAGGACTCTTCCTTTGACTCCGGGCAGTGGGGACCTCCAGTCTGGAGCACACAAATGGCCACTCCTTAATTAAATGTGAGCCCCTCTAATATTGGGTGGAATTAGCTATTATCAGATCTGGACACAGTGAGCCCGCAGAGACAGATGCCTGCTCACGAGGGCTGCTCCCCCGCCCATGCGGCCCTGGCCTGCTCCCGGACACTTCCAAATGGCCCTGGGCTCTGTGCTCAGTTCTGGAAAAGAGGTGACCAGATCCCAGGGAAACCAACAGTCACCTGGACAACAGTGTGCCCACTGGGGGTGGTGCAGCGGCTGTCACACTGGCCCACCTGCAGGCTCCTCAAGTCCCTGAGAGCTGCCCACAAGCAGCAAGGCTTGCAGCCCCCTCTGGTGTGCCCTGGAGTAGAGAAAGAGGCCCTGCAGGTACTTCTGAGGGGTGTGGACCCCCTCGAGGGCTTGCTTGATCCCTACCTGTGATTGGCCCAATGCCAGGTTGCCCACCAAAGATGCTGAGCTGAGGTCACGCAGGCCTGATGGTCCCTCTCCCTGCTGGAAGCCCGTGTGTGTGCACCCAGGGGTCAGCAGGACTTTTGCAGACACACAGAGGGGTTCCTGGGTTGGTTCCCTGGCCTCCGCAGCCATGTGTCTGTCAGCAAATGTGCTGAGAAGGAACGGGGCCTCCAGGACCACCTCTTCCCATGTCCCTTCATCCTGGCCTCACGTGCCTCAGGTGGACAGGCAGGCCTCTGAGCCACTCACCTGTCCCTGTGCCTTTTGTGGGCAGGTGAGCTCCATACAAAGGACTTGGACCACTGAGGCTGGCAGAGAAGCCCCGGTGATGGGCAGGCACCCTCTGGCAACACAGTCGGCTTTAATAAAAGTGCCAGGGCATCTAACTGGGCCAAATGCCCGTAGATCACCAAGAATCAGCCTTCAGGGTGACGGCCTGCCTGTTCCTGCACGTGGCCAGGAGACGGCTTGAGGAGAGGAGCACAGCCTCTCACCTGTTCTGAGCGCCGATGAAACAGGAAGCAACTGGCAAAGAAGCCGGAGAATAGGAACGTGTTGTTTCTGCTTATTCTAGAAATTAGGAAAATCCCCCGATTGTGCATGAGCCAGCAGGGGACAAAGAAGAGCCACACATGAAAGCGACCATTGCCTTTCATACCTAACAACCACC